GGAGCCTGGGAATGGAAGGAATGGGAGTATAATGTTACTGGGGCACATACAGCATGGTATCATGGGTTGCTGTGATATCACCATATTGTCACTGCTCTGGGGTGCCTTTGGGGTGTGATGAGGCCCCATTGTGTGGTGTTGTGCAATGTTGTAAGGGTGCCGGAGGCAGCTGCAGCTCGGAATGGGATGTCACTGCCGTGGTGGAGTGTGACAACACTGGGGTACATGGTGTGGTGGGCAGCAATGTCACAGTGGCATGCAGGATGGGGTAGCCACACAGAGAGTCATCTCCCACCCTCCCTGTGATATGGGATGTGCATGTGGGTACATGAGGAGCCCTGGGGACAGAACCTCCCCACCTGTGGTGAGGGTCCTGGGGCTCAACCCCCTGTCTGCCCCACAGTTCCCTTCCCAGTCCCATCCCAACCTCCCTGCAGGGCATTGCCAGCCGCAGCGATGTGTGGGGACAGATGAGCCCTACACACTGCACCCCTGCCATGGGGCCACGGGGCCTGTCCCTGTGCTGCCTGGCTGCACCCTGCATGAGTGCCCGTGGCACCCTCTGCCCTGTTCCCATCCTCCCACTGCCTCTACCCCTGCCTGGCACCTTGGCTTCATGTCACCAGGTTTAGCCATGCTGAGCAGGTGCCCTGGGGTGACCACAGCCCCTGGGGTCACCATGCCACCAGATGCTGCAACACAAGCCAGGACGTGGCTATGCTTGGGACAAGACAGGCTGAGCTCTGCCCTGCATACAAGCAGGACTCCATAGCCTCAAAACTCAGGTGAAACGTCATGCTGTGGCCTCGGTGTGGGAACCACGAGGCCTTTCCTGTCTGCCATGCAGAGACTGACCCTCCCTCCTCCCCCTTCCCAAAATGGCCTGGCTCTGGGCCGTGCATCCTTTCCTCATGGCACTAAGCACCGGATCCGCTGGGAAAAACCTTTTGTCTCCAATCAGGAACATTGTTTTCTACTGGAAAGGCTCCATCCAGCCTGGAGGGATTTCAGCTGCAGCTGGATGGGGCGGGAGGGGCACCTGGGACACAGGCCAAACTGGAGGGAGTGGAAGCCGGAGCAGGGGCAGAGCAGAGAGAGCCATGCCAGTGGCCTGGGGACAGCCATCCCTTGCCTGGCTGTGGCCAGGGCTAAGGGGCCACTGCTCTGCACTGGCAGGGGGTTCACATGGCAGCCCTGCACCCATATGTCCACATGCAGGTGGCTCTTCCCCACACTTAGTTTGGTCAGCCTAGTGTGGGGCTGTGGCAAAGGCTCCCCTTCCCTCACTGTCTGGCACTGCAGTGATACCCAGGGACTGTCCCATCCCTGCACAACCAAATGAAACCCTGTCCCTATTGCATGTGCCTTGTGTCAGGTACCTGTATGAGGGAAAAACCCAGGCTCCTGCCCCTGGAAAGCTGTGTCACACAGGACAGAAGGGTGATGGTCACAGTGCCCCAAGTCTGGCTGGGTGGTGGAGAGCACAGAGCCAGAGAGGCTGGCTGTGCCTGAGTCTGTGGGAGGCTATGGGTCATGCCAGGGAGGGAGCAGCACAGAGTAGAGCTAGACACACACACACATCCACCCTTGCAGCTAGGTCTGGGGAGTGGATGGGATTGGAGAAGGAAGAGGAGCAGGACCAACAGTGGGACACAGGCTCCAGATGTACTGGGCAGCAGTGCTCAACGTTTCCTCTGCAGCTGGAAGACAGCCCCTTCCCACCCAGCTGCGTGGTTCTGGAAGCTATTTGGTTGTGGCAGAGGGATCCTGGGCCCCCAGAGACCTTTGGGACCATTCCCATGCCCAGGGAAGGCAGCAGCAGACTGTTCCCTGCAGCCTGGTGGGTCTTCAAGGATCTGATTCTTGGGCACCTTCCCATCCCCAAGCCAGGCACTGACAGCTTCCTTTGCTTGCTGGCAGGGTCCACAGCATGGGGCCATTCACCCCTGACAGTGCTGGGGGTGGGGGGCTGTTCCTGGCTGGGGGGACAGCCCTGCCCAGTTATGTGGCACAGTCCCATGTCCACCTTAATGACTGGATGCCCCAGCCATCCCTCCAGTCTGCAAGAGTGGGACAGGCTGGACTTTGTCCCAGCTGAAGCGCTGGCACATGCATTCATGCCCACAGCCTGGGGATGTACTGCTTACTGCTGGGCTCTTCCCTCTGGAGGGGATTGCCTGGCCTGGGGTGAGGGCTGGCTGTCCTGAATGCCACCTTGCTCATCACCTGTGCTACAGCCAGGTCAGAGCCAGCTCCAAAATGTCTGCAGCCTTGCCAGCAGTGCTGGCAGAGACTGTCCTCCGCAGTCCAGGTTAATTGAGCCTCTCCTCCCAGTCTCCCATTCCTCCTAGCATCTCCTTCCCGTGGCTGCATTCCTGTGCAGAAACATTCCCCAGCCAGCCTGAGAGGAGCTCACCCTGCAGAGACCTTGGGAAGAACAGTGCTGGCAGGGTGGGGAAACTCAGCACACAGAAGTCACCTGGCAGAGTACCTCCATGTTCTCCACATGGCCTTCCTGAGCTCTGGAAGACCAGTTGGACAGGGGACAAGCTCCCCAGCCCGGTGACTGCCTGCTTCCTCTGGCCCTGCCAAGGGAGCAGTGATTGGCATCAGGAGTTGCCAGGAGCTTTGGTGCCAGTGGCTCCTTGGGGCAGGGCGAACTGGGGCTGAGCTAGTATTCGTCAGCACCCTGAAGCCCTCCCACCACCTTCTGGGTCCCTCCCATGGGATGGGCTCCCACAGCCCTGATCCTGCTCAGCCCTGGCTCCCAGCTTGCTGGGGTACGGTCCTGTCCCAAGGAAGCCCTGAGGGTGAGCTGCAGCTGGGAGGGTCCATGCATGGGGATGCCAGAGCTGTGGCAGTGGCCAAGGGTCTCAGGGCTGTGATGGGTGACAAGGGGTGGAAAGAATGTGTAAGGGCAGCATGGATGCTTCTGCACTGTGTAGAGGGGCCTTGGGGTCCCTGCTGGCTGGTGAAGCCATCTCCTCCTGGAGCTGATGGGCTGCAGGTCTCTCCCAGGTGCCCAGGATGCTGGTGCTGTGCCTGCTGTCCCTGGCCTGGCTCAGCGAGGGCTCCCAGCGCAGTGAGCCCATGTTTGTGGCCGTCACCCACCGCCTCCTCCCACCCGACTACGACAGCAACCCCACACAGCTCAACTATGGCGTGGCTGTCACTGACCTGGATGCCGACGGCGACTTCGAGGTCGTGGTGGCGGGGTGAGTGTTGCACCCAGCGCCTCGGTGACAGCAGGACTTGGTGGCCTTGCAGGGCCAAGAGCTCCTCACTCGTCTGTGGGCATGTGGCTGGCTGAGGGATTGTGCACAAGGGTGGGGGTCTGCATGCACCCACTCGTGTGTGTGTGTGTCTGTGCACCTGCATAGGGTGTTGATGTCAGGTGAGTGCCTGTGTGGGGCCACACAGGTGCCCCCATCCCAGCCCTGGGGCCAGGTCCCCCCTGTATGGGGCAGTGGCAGCTGCCAGTGGCTGGGGTCCACCCCACAGTGCAGAGCCAGTGTGTCCCCAAGCCGTCTCAGCTCCGCTGACAGGACTCAGTGCTCTCCACAGATTCGGTTAATTGGCTAGAGGTTTTTTATAGCCCTTTATTGGAGTGATGGCTCGGAAGGGCTGGCAGGAGCTGGGGAGGCAGGGAGCCGTGTGCTGAGCTGCCAGCGCCTGAGCAGGGCTGGACAAGGAGCAGCTGCTGCCAGTGGGTCTGGCCCCAGCCAGGGACAGCGAGGATCGTAGCACAGGCTCTGCATGTGTGTGTGCTGGCACGGCTGTGAGCCGCTGGCACGGCGTGTCTGTGCATGCACCATCATGCTCACTCATGAGGGAGACTTGCACACACAGGTGTGCTCACTCGGAGGGGACCCCTCACCCCATAGTGCCCATCTTGGCAGGGGGAGGGGGCTGTGGGAACCAGGGCACCACGGTGGCAGGCAGGGTCCGGGTCTGAGCATCACCCTGGGGCAGCCAACCACGGCAGCCCTGGGGAACCCCAGAGTGGCCGAGGACACTCCTCCCAGCCAGCCATGGTTTTGTAAGTGGCCGTGGTGCCCGTTGTGTAACTTGTTTACGGGTGCCCAGGTCAGGAACAGGCGGGGAGCCTCTGGGGCACTGCATGCCGAGAGGATTTGTCTTGCATGCCAGTTTCCCAGCCCTGGGAAAGGGCTGCAAGCAGGGATCTGTGCCCCATCCTGCCCCACTAGCCACCTAGCCCCTGCCCTGGCATTGCCCTGGAGTACCCAGGCCAGGTAGACTTGGGATGCCTGACGTGCTGGAACAGGTCCAGACTGAGTCCTCCCCATTGGCAGCCAGAAGCCAGCCCCACATTTGGGTGCTGAAGGCAGCTCAGGGTCCTTAGTCTCTATGGACCATGCAGGCCTCTGCTGTGCCCTTTCCCCATCGTGGGGAAAACCTGGTGTCACACCTGGGGTCCCCCCAGGGATGGCACAGGATCTTTCATCCTGTCCACAAGCCTCAGGGAGCCATCACCCCTGCTTGGACCCACAGGTACAATGGCCCCAACCTGGTGCTGAAGTATGACAAGGCACGGGGACGGCTGGTGAATGTGGCAGAGGATGAACGGGGCTCCCCATACTACGCGCTGCGGGACCGGCAGGGCAACGCCATTGGCGTGACGGCCTGTGACATTGATGGGGACGGCCGTGAGGAGATCTATTTCCTCAACACCAACAACGCCTTCTCTGGTGAGCCCCGTGCCGGCAGCTGTGCCCTGAGCCCCGGGTGCGGGGAGAGCTCCCGGCACGGCCGTCCATGACCTTTGGCATGTGAGGGATGTGTGCGGGCTGGAGTTAATTTCTCAGTTGAGTGGCTCCATTGATTGATGGCAGCACGGGCGGGACGCTGAGCCCAGCCAGCCGCCAAGTCAGCATTTCCAGCTGCCCACCACCCTCCCAGCGGCACCTGGAGGGGGATGGCAGTTTCCCCACCACCCCTGGGGTGGCCTCGTCACAGGGACCCTGCAGAGCAAATCCCAGCTGTGCCCTGCAGCATCTGTGTCCCCCAGTGCCACAGCTCCCCTGTGCCTGCTGGACCAAGCCAGGTCTAATCCTGCCTTGCCAGTGCTGCCCAGCTCCCGAGATGTCTGTTGTGGCGTGGAGACCCACGTGCCCCAGCCCAGCATCAGACATCACTGGAGCTCCCTGGGTTGGTGCTCCAGCCCGGCTCTGTCCCGCGTGCGTCACACAGCCCTGACCTCCAGGCAGCAGATCTGTCTTACTGATGTTCCTAATCACCCGGGCCAGCAGTGACCGCCAGCACACCTGTCCCTAAATCAGGCGTTGCCATTGGTGTTGTCACAGGCAGCGCGGCTGCTGCCTGTGCCTGGCACCAAATCGATTTTTTTTTACCTTCCCGGGGATGATGTACAGGGCTGCGCCCCATTGGGACACATTTTACTTTAATGAGTTGATTCTTCTGCGTGTCTCCCTGCAGCCCTTAAGGGTCACAGGGGCTCTTGCAGTGGCAGCCCAGCCCCACGGTGCTGCTGGGGGCTGCAGGGGACAGAGCAGATGTCTGGGATGCCTCCCAACAGCTGCTTCTTGCTGCAGGGCACCCTCCTCGGGAGGAGGAGGGATGCTGCAGCCCCCTGACCCGT